TTGTCTCTATCACCATCGGCAAAAATAAACGTGTTGTAGACTTCTACTGCTTGTGGCCCAGCCACGGTGAGAAGCAGTGCTATCTTCCGTGCGTCTGGCTTGCTATCTAGCCCGATAGCATGCAAATACAGCTGGAATCGCTGTTTAAAAGTACGCCACTCAAAGTCAACATTTCCAGTCCAATTGACGGCATCTGGCGGCTTCACACTTTCCATAATGTCCGTCTTCATATGACCACTCCTGGTACCATGTAATGTTTTGATAAAACAATAAAAATGGATCTGGGTTCGTTAGCTTCTTTATTAAGCTTCAGCAGGTATAACCTGTGTCTGAGTCTTCTTCGACTCCCCCTTAACTTTAGAGTGCCCCCTGGTGGTGTAGCTGTAATACACTATCAGCACAAGTAACTGCGAAAAGTCATTAAGGAAGTTCTTGTTGTATTTCGGAGGTCTATATATCACTGCTCACAGCATTGGTGATGCAGAGCTAAGTTCAAACAGAAGCATCTCAAAGCTGGGAAATGACACAGAAGGAACAAGATGTTTGCACATAATGCTACTTTTAAAAACTGTAGCTAGACCTCCGCCCCGTCCTGATATCCTCGGGGAGTTAAGAAACAGTCAGGTGGCAGCAGTTCACAGAAAGCGCTCGACTCACCCACAGTTGCCCAAGTTTCAGTCACGCACATTAAATCCAATCCTCTTGATTCAAAAAAGTCCCTCATGATGAAAGTTTTATTCGCCAGCGATCTAGCGTTCACCAGAGCAAAAATTGCTGGAACAGGAGCGGGTGCATTTGCCGTGGGCGTAGTCCGGGCCCGGCGTGGCAGACGGAGATTGGGCAGACACACACAGAGGGGGCGGGGAAGAGAAGCCGGGACACAGCTCTCAGGAACACTGCCATCGAAGCCAACCACAGGAACCAGACAGGGCCGTGTTGCATCCAGGGTGCGCCAGGGGATGAAGCGACAATATTCCTGTTGGATCTCCTGGGATGTCACAGAGGAACGTGCCACCAGGGCCTTCAGTTTCACCAGTCTCCCTGCGCGTTTGCCACGGCGCCTGCGGCGCCTGTGCCTGGGTAGATCTGGCGCACGACAAAGGTAAGCCGGTATTTCAGAAAGGAAAGGTGGGGAAAATGCGTTGTGATCGTAATAATCAAATGTAAGGAAGTTGTCAACACATGGTTGGAAATCTGGTGTTTGGCGATCATACGTCAGCAGGGATGTGACATTTACTGTGACAATTGATAAAAACAGCAAAAATACAAGCACATTACGCAGGGACAGATGACAGGCCGCATACACTGGCGCCATCTTGTTTAGAGCTTTTAAATACTTTTTTGCCCCACTGTAAAAGACGCTAACAGGAGCCTCTGTGAGTACAATGCAACAAACTTGCCGTATGTGACTGTGAACTATATAATTAGGGTCTGATATTGGATCGAGGACATAGGGCTCTATGTGACAGATTGCCAATAGCCGCATTTCCACCGCAGCAGTTCCTGGTAAAAAGAGCGGGTGGAAATTTTACAGGAACCTTCCTCTCCCTTGGTCCTCTCAGTGTCCGTGTCTCTGCAGTAGGACCACACGGCGACGTCATGAGTTTCGATTGCTGCATAAGCAAAACTTATTACAGCAAACCTATTTGTATATTTTACGGTCGTAACCGCTCCGGCAGTTGTGGTCTTTGAGTCATTTTATAGTCCTGCTTCAGTTTTCTAAAACTTTTCACAGCTTGTTTTGGAGTGTAATGAATCCCCAGTGCTTCGAGGTGAAGCTGATGTTGGGAATAACACCAGGTTTCCAGATCAGCTTTTGAGTAGGTCCCGTTTCAAGGTAACTGTATTTCTGGAACAGTCTTTGGTGGTGTCATCGTCACTTGCAAAGAAACATCTGTAAGTTTCGTCGCAGATTTCAGACTCGTGTTTTCGAGGCAGATCCCGTGAACAAGTTGATCCTCATTCTCAATCTACTGTCGTCAGATATTTACACTAACAACACATTTTCTCCAAGTTGACATGAAGCTAACACAGAAAAGCAAAGAAGTATTTACTGTCTATGGAGCAGACGCTGGACTCGGAGAGAGGCTGCAGCTGTCCATAGATGGCGCTGATTCGCTGGTTTAGTTTCTCCCCGCTGTCAATCACCTCTTGGAGGGGTGCTTTTGACGTCACGGATTGTGCCACGTCACAATTTGAAACAGTTTCTGTGGCTCTCTAGAATGAAAGAGAAAGATTGCTCTCTAACTAAAGCTTGAGGGAATCAATGAAAAAACTACTCTGGGCAAATAGCTGTAATCATGTTACCAGAGAAAAGTCAAAAAGCGCATGGAGCCTTCAAGGCTCAGAAGAGCCCGAATCCAGTCAGAAGTATTTCATCAGCTGATACTAAGCCAAGATCTCCTATTTCTTCTTTTTGTATGTTAAACACAACATGATAATAGTCCTGTGGATTAGGATATTTGCTCTTTTTTGTGTCTTGTGGATTAACCAGTTCTTCTCTCTCACAGAGCTGTCGGGTCATAAGTGCATGGCCTGTTCTGATAACCAGTGTTCATCTGAGCGTTCAGTCTTCTGCACCGAGGACGCACCCTTCTGTTTCTCTCGCACAGAGTCCTACGGATCAGGTAACTGCTGTTCTCTCCCACACCTGAGGAATCAGATCATAGTCACTCGACTGTAGAGATACACGATGGGCAGAAAGAGGCTTCACCAGTAATAAAATAATAATTTATGTAAAACTGGGACATCGCTTCAAGTTTCTCAGTGGTTATGACGTCTTTTTGAGAGTTTGGACTTCGAATCCTTAACAGCTGTAAAAGCTCCTCACACTTTAGACACTTTTCTAACCACCTCAACTCATGACAGCTGAAGTGTGATCTCAGAGATATTTAACCTGTTGGTTTTAAGTCTGAGTGCTGCTGCAGCAGTAAAAAGACATGCATACACTGTGGGCTACGGGAAGACCAGAGGGACCAGGGCGAGAGACCAGAGAGAGAGACACCAGAGAGAGACCAGAGACACCAGAGAGAGAGACCAGAGACAGGGACCAGAGAGAGAGAGACCAGAGAGAGACCAGAGAGAGAGACACCAGAGAGAGAGACCAGAGACACCAGAGAGAGAGACCAGAGACAGGGACCAGAGAGAGAGAGACCAGAGAGAGGCACCAGAGAGAGAGACACCAGAGAGAGAGACCAGAGAGAGACCAGAGACACCAGAGAGAGAGACCAGAGACAGGGACCAGAGAGAGAGAGACCAGAGAGAGGGACCAGAGAGTGAGAGAGACCAGAGAGAGAGACCAGAGAGAGAGACACCAGAGAGAGAGACCAGAGACACCAGAGAGAGAGACCAGAGACAGAGACCAGAGAGAGAGACACCAGAGAGAGACCAGAGACACCAGAGAGAGAGACCAGAGAGAGAGACACCAGAGAGAGACCAGAGACACCAGAGAGAGAGACCAGAGACAGGGACCAGAGAGAGAGAGACCAGAGAGAGACACCAGAGAGAGAGACCAGAGACACCAGAGAGAGAGACCAGAGACAGGGACCAGAGAGAGAGAGACCAGAGAGAGGGACCAGAGAGAGAGAGACACCAGAGAGAGAGACCAGAGAGAGAGAGAGAGACCAGAGAGAGAGACACCAGAGAGAGAGACCAGAGGGAGAGACCAGAGAGGGAGAGACCAGAGAGAGACCAGAGAGGGAGAGACCAGAGAGAGAGACCAGAGAGAGACCAGAGAGGGAGAGAACAGAGAGAGAGAGACCAAATATAGACCAGAGAGAGGGAATCTTTGCCTCGTATCACTTTGGCCAAGATTAGGGTCAATGGAATAAATGTATACACAATACTGTGTGCGCCAGTAAAAATGAAACTCGTCCTTTTGTACTTTCAGGCTACACAAATATCCAGAAGGGCTGTGTTCAGTCCAACATCTGTCCAGCAACTGTAGAAAATCAGGTTGTGTCGTTTCAAGTGGGTAATAATTCTTATATCCGTAACACCACGTGCTGCGACACAGACAACTGCAATGTTGCAACCCAAACCAGTGAGTCTGTTTATTTACTTTATTTTGTTGTTTATAATTCACACTTGAAATGAAAAGTAAGAAAGAGTAATCCATTCAGACCATATTCTCATGGTTTAGGTTTATTCTGTAATGTATCAACCCCTATCTCTTCCTTTGGTTCTACTTCCTGTTGTGTACTACCCGCCCTCATGTGTATCACCTGTGTGTTTTTAGTCCTTCTGTAAACAAACCCTGTGTCTGCTTCACTCCCATTTCTGTCATTCACTTTTAGGCCCTGTCTACACGTAGCAGGGCATTTATAAATCCGCCCTCCGCCTAAAAAAAAACTTCTGTCCACACAGCCTCGGTTTTTAAAAAAACGGCATCCACACCTAACTGCATACATGCGTTGTCAATTACATTTCACCGTGACATTCTGAAATTGTCTCGCCATTCCTCCGGGAGGACGACTTCCATCTCAAAGTTCTCCCACCAGCTGGCAGTGCGTCCCGGTCTGACCCAAAATCGCCGTTGCCGTCTTTGACGAGGAACATGTCTTGGACGAGGGATGGTTATTTGGCGGAAAATAGCCGACCTTAAAGTGCTCCTTCGTCTGTGCTCTTCAACGTGAAGCAGTATTTGAGCTTGTAAAAACAAGCAAGCAAAAAGTGCCTGAACAATCGTTAAAACAAAAGCGGTTTTGATGGCCTCCATGTTGTTTCTGATGTAAACACAGGTCGCGCGTGTGACGTCAGAGCAGCACGCTGGTAGTGACGTACAGCCGAATACTCCGGTTATTTATGTCCACACTCAAACGCATAACCGGAGAATTCCCAAATCTTCACTTTGGCCGGAGTTTTCAGAAACCTTCGTTTTTATCGACAGAAAACTCCGGGTTTGTGTGGATGATAGGCCAGATCGTAGGAAAATATCTTCGGTTTGTGAGATACCCTGCTACGTGTAGACGGGGCCTTAGTTTTTTGTCTTTGCCCCTGGATTTAGCTTTTGTATTTGCTTTAACTTGGGTCCATTTAATTTTGCCATGTGACACTCGTAATCTTTGTTTAAAAAGCTTTTAATCATGCTACAACATAGTTCCACACTAGTAAAATAACAAACTCGTCCCTTCCCAGACACTTTGGTAAATCTGTCCGTTTCTCTTCTTTCAGTAATGATCCCGGCTGGCTCTCTGCAGTGCTACACCTGTGACCTCTACTCGCATGAATGCAATGTTGACACTGTAACCTGTAACGAACTAGAAGTCTGCGCAATGACTCGAGGTTAGAACCACACATCCTGTACATAGAACAGAACCATATACAGTACATAAACAACTCATCTGGAACTTTATTTATTTTCAGAAAACTCCTCACCACGGATTTACGGATGTGTCTCTGAGAATCTCTGCAACAACGCCACCATGACGCAACAGCACTTTGGCTACTACGAAGAACTATCCTGCTGCGACACAGACTTCTGTAACAACCTGAACAAGACTGGGTGTGAAGACAAAGATGATTGGTCTGTGTTTTGTTCAGCTGGGCCGATGCTGTCTCTGAGCGTGCCTCTTTGTCTTCTGGGGCTCTTCACTCGCACATTCTAAACCTTAGAAGTGATGTGGGCTTCATCCACAGTGGGGGGCACTGGTGATTTGTTTTGCCCATATGCAACGTGTAATAATTACTTCTTTCTTTTTTCGTTGGTGTGAACCATAGACTGTCTAGAGAGGGCCAATGCTAACCTAAATAAAACTTCTTTGAATGCAAGCCGCAGAAAACGAAACGGCACAAGAAGCTCTGAGGACATCAACATTTAATATTTGCAGGGCTCATGTCATATATCGTCCCGCAGGAGGCGAGTCCAACCCTAACCCTGACCTTATCCACAAACACATTTATCCTGTTTTCTGTATCTGTCCCCAATCAAATAAACCAAAACAAATAATAAAGTAGGCCCAGATAAGACCCAGAGCATGCTGCTTAGCTTAGCGTTTAGCTTCCAGGTTGACAAAGAAGGGAGTTCCAGAATTTTACCAATCTGTGCAGAGGCCAACTAGAGAGCGAGAGCCGAGAGCAGAGAGCCGAGAGCAGAGAGCAGAGAGCACAGAACGAGAGCAGAGAGCGAGCCTTTGCGGCGGCCCCGGTTCCCATGGTAACGGAAAACAAAGTTAGCTATGGTCAAACCACACCTCTCCTACGAGAAAATCAAGGGATATTTCCCAAACTTAATTATTCACTTGTCATTTTGTCTGGTGTTAAACTTGTTCTGCATTTGAGTCTTGGGAAAATCTGTTTTCACCTACCCCCTATCTCCGCCCACGTCCTTGTTCTCACTGTGATTATTCATGTAAGACTCTTGGGTCGTAAATGAAGGGTTCAAATTGTATTTGATAAAATCAATAAAATTGTTGGGAAAAAAGATCCACGCTTTCTCCTCCGAAATGTAGTTATGACCAGTTGTAAACAAGTACTTTACTCTATGCTACTCTATGCTACTCTATGCTACTCTATGCTACTCTATGCTACCATGGCTCCCAGCAGCACTCTGGACAATCACTGACCCGCCCCCACTGTTAGAACCAGTGGGGGCGGGTCCCAGCTCAAAAGTGGTCAAAATGACGTGCGCTGACATGCTGCAGTACCACCCCGGGCCGATGGGGGTGGACCCAGAAGAAGAATTAGCCAATGCTAACATATAGCATTGGCAGATCTCTCAAAAACGTCTTTACAGGATGGACCAAAAGTTGGCTCTTGGCCCAAAGCTCCGTTCCACATGTGTGTCAATGCTGAGGGGGGTGTTTTGGTCCACTCTAGTTTACTTGCTGTGAATTTTTGAAGTCTCTCGTTCAAATGAATGGAGCTGCGCCGGCTGACACATGCACAGATACGTTTTTTCACAATTTTCTTGTGGGCGGGACCACTCGCGGCCATTTTGGATTGCTCCATGAAAGCACTTTTCATGGCCAACTCCTATGAACGGCGGATATAGGCGTGACTCTGTCCGTTATTATATACAGTCTATGGTTAGAACACTTTAGTACCAGCTCGGCCTGGATAGAACCAGGACCAAAAGGGACTAAAAAGGACCTGGTACTGGTTACACAGGACCAGAGGAAGGGACTGTTTTTGTCTTTATATGTCTATGGTTATATTCACCAGTTGTACCATCAAGTAAAAGTGAATTCCTTTTAGTTCATCTGGTGAAAAACTCAAAAAAAATCGACTGGTTTCAGAATCCTGGAAGTCCCTGGTGTTCACCTTTTTATATTTACCTCTAACATTTGCACTCAGACCAACAGTAATGCCAAACAAATGTATATGGGTCACTCCACACTAAACGGTTTAATGCGTCAATCTTACTTTAAGCAGCAATAAAATAAATGTATGAACCAAAAAGGTTTGTACCTAACAATTATTTAATACTACGTAGCTTATAGATATACATAGTATAATCTCAGATGGACAACTCAAAACCACTTCAAGAAAATGCATGTCTTGTATTGAAATTTGGGGACATAATAGTTACATTTAGGACATGTCATGTTGGAGGCTTTGTGAATGGAAGAATGAAAAGGACAGGGAAGACTATTAAATGGCTAATGGTTGTGGATATAACTATAATCAATCTCTAATCATAGATTATACATAATGAATTAAATAACTGCAGATAAAGTTGCCGTTTTGGACGTAACACTTCGTGTCCACTGAGTGTTACGTCCAAAACGGCTGTCTGTAGTGCTATTAATAGAACAGGCATGAATGAAATGGTGTTTAAGTAGTGCACTATTCACTGGACAAACAAGCTAAAAAAAACAAGGGTGGGTGCTATGAATATTTGGCAGAAACAGACGCGGACATTTCTGAACTTTTTCGTGTCATTTTTCACTGTTACGTCCAAACATCAACCAGGAAAAAAGTATTAGCACTTACGGTAGTGTATGACACCGGCGCGCCACATGACGTCAGTCCAGCGGGTGCCAACAGCTGCATGACAGAGACAGGTAAGATTTTATATTTGTGTCCTCTTTTGTTACGTCCAAAACACTGTTTCGTCCAACAAACATATTCCACGATTGCTTGAAATATTTTGTAGATGTATTGTGGCAACATTATGGTCTACAGAGATCTCATGCTGTGTGATTGTTTTAGCGTAATCTGCGGACTTCTTCTTTGACCTAAGCGTATGTATACAGCGGGAAGGGGGATAATGGACACAATGCACCATAGTGTCCCCCATTACGTCCACGCCAGATATCAAATAATCTGTTCAAAATGCGTTTTTTTGTGTAATCCGAAATGTCCGCGGGGGTGCGCGTAACCGCGGGGCAATAGCTCTATTGTTTTCTGTATGTACTCGAACGGCAGAGTGGATCTCCGTGACCGCGGTAAAGTGGGGCGCATCTTTCACCTCCGAAGTAAAACGGCCCGCATCGAGAGAAAAACAGTGCGCGTTTTAATGACTACTTACGGTAATAGCGGAACAGCCTTTCGGAGTCACCTTTTCTCCTCGAACAGAGAGCGCGCTGAGGAGACTCGTTTTTGTGAATAAACCCATATTTGGAAAGCATTTAATTTGGTCAAAAAGTGAAATTTTCAGCAGCTGTCCATTTTTACAGTAAAGACTTGTGTGATTTATTCCACTGGGTTCATGACCTCAATAGAGCTGCCTTATACGCTGTGCCTACAACCACACACCTTTACTGTGGAAATGTTGGGCAAAATTGACAAAGTACACTTTTTAGTGCAAAATACACAAAACTGTAAAAAAAATTCCCGCTTTTGATCTACTGTAACTTTTTACTGTAAAAAGGTGTGTGACTCATTTCAATGGATTCATGACCTCATTATTATGTTCTACCACTGTGCCAAAGACTAGAAATTTTTACTGTGAAAATTTGGAGAAATATGGAGTTAAAAGTAGCCATTTTGGTCCAAAGTAGCCAAAGAATGGTCAAAACATGTCACTTTTGATCTACTGTAACTTTTTACTGTAAAAAGCTGTGCGACTAATTTCACTGGATTCATGACCTCATTATTGTCCTCTACCAGAGCTGTATTTGCATTGCCGGCAGGCGCAGGCTGCCCTTTGTCACCGCTTCTGTTCACTGTCATAATGGACAGAATTTCTAGGTGCAGCCAGGGGCCGGAGGGGTCCGGTTCGGAGACCACAGGATTTCATCTCTGCTGTTTGCCGACGATGTTGTCCTGTTGGCTCCAAGGAACCAGGACCTGCAACATGCACTGGGACGGTTTGCAGCCGAGTGTGAAGCGGCTGGGATGAGAATCAGCACCTCCAAATCCGAGGCCATGATGCCTGACCGGAAAAAGGTGCCTTGCCCTCTCCAGGTGGGTAAGTAAGTAATGATTATTTATATAGCGCATTTATATTAAAAAAATATTTATATAGCGCAAAAAAACGCATTTGCACATGCGTCAGCCGACGCAAGCTCCATTCATTTGAACGAGAGACTTCAAAAATTCACAGAGAGTAAAGTAGAGTGGTCCAAAAAAATTATTATGCATTATGCGCGTCACTTGAAGCTTTTGACACGCGTAATGCTTGCGTCTCTTTTGTCGTAAAAAAATCCCTTGACGCCAAAGTTGAGAAAAGCTTTTGGAGCTTGACGCCGGGCTTCAACCAATCTGGAGACGAGGAGCAGCAGCAGCAGCAGCAGGGCTGTCATGGAAAGAAGTCATGTAGCTGCTGCTGCTTTTTCATTGTCATTATTGTTATTTGTAATATTATTTGTATTAATAGTAACGTTCTTAAAAAGTAAGTAACACAATCAATGTACATATGCTGTGAAGTTAGAGTAATTTATTTAATATAAGAACAAGCTAAAGCTGGCTCAGACACAGCAGACTGAAAGACAGGCGCTCCTCCGCGGGAATCAGTGCGAGCTCCAGGCGGGAGCGAGAGAAGCTCCTCCCACCCGGCGTCAGGAGCGAGAGAAGCTCCTCCCACCCGGCGTCAGGAGCGTCAAGCACCAAGAGGCGTTCACACCGGACCCAGCGTCAAATATTGCGCGTCAAAAGCGTTTTGAAGCTATCGGTCTGAAAGCACCTTTAGAGATAGATTGAGGAGCTCAGTCACACGGAAAGAGCTCGGAGCAGAGCCTCCGCTTGTCGACGTTGAGAGAAACCAGCTGAGGTGGCTCGGGAATCTGTTCCTCCTGGACGCCTCCCTTGGGAAGTGTTCCGAGCATGTCCCACCGGGAGGAGGCTCCGGGGAAGACCCAGGACACGCTGGAGGGTCTCTCAGCTGGCCTGGGGATGCCTTGGGTTCAGTGTATGCTGCCCCTGCAACCAGGCAACAGATGAAGCGGATAAAATGAATTTGGAAGTTACAGTGGATAAAAAAAATGAGAATTTTCGCACAATTTTGTGTATTTTTTTTACCAAGGGGGGTAAATACCCCCCTTGACTAATTATTTCTCAACATTTCCACAATAAAAGTTACAGTAGACCAAAAGTGACATGTTTTGGACCAAAATGGCTAATTTAACTCAATATTTCTCCAAATTTCCACAGTAAAAGTTTCTGGTCTTTGGTAGAGTGGTAGAGGACAATAATGAGGTCATGAATCCAGTGAAATTGGTCGCAC